ACATTTTAATATATAGCATAAAATGACATAAAAGTTATAATTTATTATAAATAAGTAATTAATAAGTAATTAGTAATAAATAATTCATTAGAAGACGAATCTAATATTTCTAATATTTCTAGATAATATCGGACGCCATTTCTTTCTTGCACTAAATCGTTTTTTTAATCTCTAACTGTACGCTTACACTCGTCAGTTCTGGTTTGTTCAGTTCAGTTCAGTCCTAGTGCGGGAATAAAAAACAAACTCCTAGTGTACAATCAGTCTATGAAGGAAATACTAATGATATAGCGTCGATCGAGATCTACTTTATTAGATTTGTCAGAAAGATAAGTGCTACACCAATTTTCTTGCGAGATACTTTTAAAATCGAAGGCGATTCTAAAGCAGAAATTAATCTTTAATCAAAGTGGAATATGTTCTAATGTTCAGTTTTACAGATGTATATTAACTTTAACTTGCTTTTTATTCTTCCTTAATTCTAGAAAATAATAAAAAATATTTCAAATTGGAATTAAAGTAATTTACATTGATGGAAATAAAATCTAAAACCTGTTAAACAATTCTTATCGCAAAGATACTCCTATAAATATACTGGCGATTATTCATCAATATTTCTTCTTTTTATTTGGTTCGCTATATTAACAGAAAAAAATTTATCTTTCTTCTTATTTCGTGGATTCTATTGTATCTTCTTAGGAATTATCGAGAAATTTGTTACTTTGGTTTTATACATTTTTTTTTGTAAAGATTATTGACAGGACAGCATTACTTCGTTTCAAAAATTTTCGCTTAGTTTAATCATTCTCTTTTTCCGCCGATTAAAGAGAACATTCTTAGAAAAGATCTTTATTGCGGCAAATTCTATTTTATCAAAGAAGAAAATAAAGATGTTTCTAAATCGTGTCCGGGACAATTTTCAACGTTTCGAAATTTCAAATAATCTGTTAAATATTCTATTGTTATATTTTATGATCCCTTATTGCAGAGAAATCATAAAAAAATATTTTCTCCAAAAAATGGATCATAAAATTTTTATGTATATCCAGTTTTGCAAGCGAATTATTTAGGAATTTTGACTCGTCAATACTAAGTTTGAACATCAAGCTTTTAATCTTCTAAAAAACTATAACAAAGTAAACGTAGAAATTGTTAGTTTAGAAGTTATTTTATACTTTTTTCTGATATATTTGGACATTTAATATAAAATATCTTATAAAATATTTATTGTCTTACTTTGGTACTTCTGAACAGAACAGAATAATGAGATAAATCTATTTATATGAAGAAAAGATATAGTTGTTAAAAAATATGTAATATGTAATTACATATTATACTTTTTCTAAAAAATAAATCGATTCATTTTATGAAAATCATTAAAATTTGAAGTGACTAACCAGAAATTTATTCGAAAAAACAATGTCCTTAGTCAAAAATTGGATAGGTGACAACTGTGGTTATGCCATATGTTAGAACAGATGTTAGACAGCTATAGAATAGCACTATAGAATAGCACTATAGAATAGCAACCATAGAATAGATTTAATAACTCTTGTTTATAATTAAAATTAATATATCTAAGTAAAATACAAATAATTAGAAATAAATTGACTGTTCTTGAAGAGATTGATGAAGAGGAATTATGAATTTTTAAAACTTGTTTTGAATTTTTATTCGATCCGATTCGTTTACACGCGAATATCAAGTTTCACACTTGACGTAGGAGTCTTGTTTTCATTTAGCTGCTGGATTGTAATTTTAAAATAAATTCCCTTTTTCTTGGTGGTATATGCTGAAGAGAATAAATATTCCATAAATTAATATTTCTATATAAATCTAATAATTAAATAATTCTCTTTCACTTTCATCTTGATAAATTCCACTTCAATTCACTTAAATTAAAATGCGTTCTCAGAGTTGTTTCCAATCACCTTGTATATTTCACAGAAACTTCAATAGAAATAATATACTTACAAAGCACCAAAGGTTTCAGAAAACGTTCAGAAAGCGGGCATAATAACATAAGTATAAAACATACCTAAAACATTTTTTTGAATTTTTATTAAAAGGTTTCTGCAAACTTTCTAACATACTTCACTGCACTGTGTGAAAAAATTATTTTCGACATATTTCAAAGATTTATTTTTTCAGAAATGTTTTTGAAATATTTATGGAATATTTCATAAAAATTTCATAAATATTTCAGAAACATTTCTGAAATTACACCAAAGCAGATATATTATGTATGTGAAACATGTCTGAAACATGTCTGAAACATGTTTGAAATATGTTTGTGAAAGGTTTCATATTTGACAGTTTTCTGAAAGCTTTCCGAAATTTTTCGGTGCTGTGTGAGACGAGATAAAATAAAATTTAATCGTCGTAATGATTTAGCATTTAAACTTTGTTTTTACATTTATATTTTCAATGTTTATTTAGATTTATTTATTTACATGCATATGAGAGCTATTTATCTCTGAGGCATCAAATTCTTGAATCCTTGCAGCGGAGTAGCAACCAGAATCGGAAATAAACACCAAAATCAGAATGAATCGCGGCTACGTGAACGCATTTTAGTTTAAGTGAACTGAATTGGAAATATCTTAAATTGCGTTTTCTCGTTACTTCACAAAGAACATAAGATATAAACTCGATAAACAATATCCGCTTCATTTAATTCTGTTTCTAATTGTTCAATGGTTCTTTTCATTTATAATTTGTTATAACATTGCAGTTTTATTTGTCCGCTCATGAACAGTATTTCAATATAATCACATTGTAATTTCTAATTAAAGATTGTTCAATTTTTAGATTATTGGACCATAATGTGCGAATGACTCATTCCGTAACACAACCATGGATAACAACCGAGGATGAAAGTCGAGAGATGATGGCTCTATGGCCGGACGTTTTCCGCGACTTTATGCATGGGGCTAAGATTTCACGCGTTATGGATGTTGATAAATGTATAACAAGAGTAAGTTGTTATTGATTAAAATATGAGTTAAATCAATAAATTTTTATGAATACAAAAGTATCTCTTTCGTTTAGATATTACAATACATCATACCAGGAGGAAAGGAAACTCGAGGTTTAACCGTACCTTATGTCTACAGGTTACTGACATCGAATGATCAACTTACAGAAAATAATATTCGTTTGACACGGATTTTAGAATTCTGCGTGGAAATGGTACGTGGCTTTGTTATTAGACCGAATTACTGAAGTACAAGACAATATCTTAATTTATTACTCTATTTAAATCAAAGCATATTGTGTGATAAATTGTTTAAATTAAACTTATAAAATGTCATTATCTTTTATAATATTAAGATTAATATTAAGATATTACTTTTATATAGTTACAAGCTCATTCACTCTTTCTTGAGGATATACAAAACGAATATTACTTGAAGTTACATACAGACCTGCCAAATTGGTATCGAGACTACAACTTCTTGAGCTGGGCGATAAGAGACGATGCTTCAATGTTAGAATATTCTTTCTATTATCTAATTGAAAAGCACTTTGATGGAAAAAAGTGCTGTACTGACTTACTAGTAACATTCCACGATGTGAGTGAAAATATCCTCCTAATATGTTTGTAAATATCAGCTTATTTCTTTTTCCTTTTGATCAAGCGATTATTTATATAATATTTTGATAGATATTGTGGAAAACAATAAACAACCAATGGGTAGATTTAAAATCTACCAATTTCGGCACGAAGCCGAGGAATCAGGATTTATTTACGATGGCTCGATACGATTCTATTGTTGAATACAAAACGTCACATTATTCATTTCTCTTACCAGTGATCGCAGCAATGCATTTTGTAAGTATACCTTACTTTTCTCACACATGCAAATACATAAATATTTTAATAATGATAATAATGACACGTTACATATAGGCTGGAATAAAAGATCCAGAGATGTTCAAACAAGCAGAAACCATCCTGTTAGAGATGGGACGTTTTTTCCAAGTCCGAGATGATTATATGGGTTGCTTTGAAGAATCCGAGGTCGTTGGCAAATATAATACTGATATACAAAAAGGAAAATGTACGTGGCTAGTTGTTACAGCTCTCGATTGTGCTACTCCAGAGCAGCGTAAGATTTTAAAAGTAAGCATTACCTTAATATTATTTTTCTAATTAACTTATTATATTATTTATTATATATATATATATATATATATATATATATAAATAATTCTTTTTTTATTATTTCTTCTCTTGTTATGTAGGAATGTTATGGCTCTTCGGATCCGGAGAAAGTGGAACGTGTGAAACAGCTCTTTATCGATTTGAAATTGCCAGATAGGTATTCTATATACGAAGACGAAACGTATAATTTACTAAATGAATTTTTACAACAGATGTCACCCGGGCCTTTACATAGTTTTTTCTCGGATTTATTAGGGAAGCTTTATCGCAGAGGTATTTAAAGTGTATATTAAAGAAATAGACTAATGCATTAATCCTTCATAAAATTTGAACTTTAGATAAATTTGAACTTTAAGAAGAAATGTGAAACAACATGTGTTCTGTCATTGTCTCGAAGAATGATAGAATGTTATTTCAAAGTGAAAAATATCAAAAAATATTTTATAAAATCTTATGTATCGAGAAGAATTTATCTCTTTAATAAAGTCTCATTAAATTAAAAGATGAAATATTATTTCCTACCAAATTTTCTACAATGTATAATAAATTAATTTAAAAATGTTAAAACAGAGCACTAAATAGACATAATTGTTAGAATATTAATTTGTCGAAGAATATTGTTATAATTAAAACAAAAATCATGACATATATAGAATTGTTATAAAAAAGCTATTGTACAAAATACTATTATATTAATATAAAGATAATATTAAAAGATTGCATAATTGCAGCTGCATCGTGACATTTACGAAAAAAATGGAATTGAACAATAGATGTTATTCAATTTTTCATTCAATTTTTACTTGTAATTCTTTTCAATATAATTATTTTCGATAGAATGGCTGCTAAAACTGTTAACTTTGACGCACATGTAGAGAGAGAAATATGTCTGTTGGTTTACATGCTAAACAGATAACGCGAGATATTATCATGTTTTATAACGCACGATGAATATAAATAAGTATAAAATATAGTATATCTTACATGTATATCTTATATTTACTTTTATTCATTGTGTGTTATGTTTAATTTTTATTCTGAATTTTTATTTCAAAAATTCAATATTTATTCCTAGTTCTAATACTTCCTCCATTGTGCGCAGAATCTTATTTCACAAAAATATTTTTTTCAAAAAGAAATTTATTAAAAGTTTTTATTAAAAGAGATATTAAATTTATTTTTAAGAATAAATTATATAAAATGTGTAAGCAAAAAATCCAATATAAAAATTACAAAAATTACAAAAAAATATAATTAAATAAAATATATAAATTATACATATATATATATATATGGCAATATGAAGATATAACATTTTGGATATATTTTCTTTAACAAATAGATTTGCAATTTGTTGAAAAATTGAATATTAAATTGCGGCAACATTTATATTTAATATTTATTTTATTTCGTAATTAATATTTTTTAGCTAACAATACGTCACACAAAATAATAATTTAGCATTTTTCTACAATAAATAAAAGATTATATCTAAAATACAAAAAACTGATGAATTGACAATGTGTAACACGTCCTGTTGTCATAAAAGGAAAAAAATATATATTATTATTTAATGTGGGACGTATATACAAGTCAAAGAATAAAACCGTCCACCGTCCGCATTTTCTTTCATCACTGCTTTAAAAAAGCTTTTGTTATTGTCTAGAACTATTAAACACACAGAAATATGGCATTATTTCCATATGACAATTATTATGGTCAAATGATCATAAGTTTTCTTATTTAATCGCGTAATATTAATATGACAAATTTTTCAGATTGACAGAATAGTTCAAGAATGACTGGTTATGAGCAGTGTAAATAATAAATATTCCGTTTACGACTAATAGAGAATTTTAATTAATGTGCATGTTATTCCATCGTTAAAAAACACAATATACAAATTTTTAACGCGTAAAGGAATCGTATATTGATTTTCTTAAGATATGTTATTTTCTATCTTATTTAAACAAAAGACTTGTTAAAATAAAAATCGATTAAATATATTAAACATTAATTTAAGTGAAATTATATTAAGATACAGATTACGTTCTTTATTATATATAATTAGAAAGATGTATTATTTAATTTTCAAGTATTAAACTTACTATTTTAAAATCAATATCACAATCAATTATTTATTGCAACAAGTTATTTATGTTATTTATATTGTCATAATGACCTATATAATTTTATAACAATATTCATATTAAAACTTTAAACTTTATAATCTTAATTTATTGATTTATCTGGAATTCAGAATTTTGTATAAGTTAAATTTTTCTAAAGAATGCAACTGTGTACCACAACTTTTCCAATTTTATGCGCGCATGTAAAATAAATATGTATATCTTTTTTCATAAATATCTGTATAAATAAAAATAATTGTATGCGTGTGCGTGCGTGCGTGCGTGCGTGCGTGCGTGTGTGTGTGTGTGTGTGTGTATATATATATATATATATATATATATATATATATA